AAATAAAAAAAAGACTTTTATGTTGAAAAACATTTCATTGAAAATGATGTCGTTTTGCATGTGACGTCATTTCCCCGAATAGTTGTCGAGCCATAATGAGTCATTTATACATAGCTGGAACAGGTAGCAAAATACCCTAGTAACGAAAAGACCGGTAGCAAAATGTCTGGGTATGAAATGTTAACCATGATACCATTCTCTTCTCTGCCATCTATCAAACTGTCGTTAATGTTTAGTCAAACAATTTGTATTTGGATTCATCTGTAAAAAAAACTTCTCCTCCAGCTTTACACATCCCATTACTTAAAGTCTTGTGCCCATTTTAGCCCATTTATGATTTTGTTAACTTTTCTACAAAGTGGGTTTTGAGCAGCTACATATCCATTGAGGGCCACTTCATAGTAAAGTGTATGTTACTTTTCTGGAGGTAATATTTACACTTGTACTTGCAGCTAGGTCACTCTACTGGATTGTCATGTATCACACAAACAGAATTGTTTAACACCATTTTTGAAGAGTTTGGACTTTCTACCAGGCCCACTTGTATTATCAACAATACTAGTTTCAGTTTCCATACAGATCCTACTGAAACATTAAATTTTGTCTCAATCTGTAGTACATAGTAGCCTACTTCAGTCAAAACTTTGTATTCTATCATGTAAAATTTCTGTCCTGAGAGCCATAAGTGGAATTCACTCACCACACTACTGATAGGAATAGTATGACTGCCTGTACTTGTAAAGGTGTGTCAGTGTTTGCCTGGTTGCATGAAAGTCAATCACAGTGTAAACTGTTATCATATTCTGATGCAACTCACTTTCATAGAACAAAGGAATGGGAAACCTCTGATGTTAGCATTTTATACCCATTTAATCCACAGTTGTTATAATAATTTCCAATTCAGTATATCTCATTAAGTTGTTAACAAATCGATCTGTTCAAGTGTAAAAAGTTGGTTAAACTTTAAGTTATTCATGAAAGTAAGATGAAAAGCAGACCCGATTGGAACTGTGATTATTTTGTAATATCTGAATGAAATAAAACTTTAGTAAGTTTTTTTTATTGAAGTGTAAAACTTACAAAAAATATTTTTCTTCATTCAAACTTTACATATATTACTACAGTTTTTTGAGTAAATCTTTGAACAATCCGTCAACTCTCCCAAAAAATGCACTTAAAAGCTTGATAAATAACAATATGAGAAAATTCAACCACTGAAAAAAAATTTTTTTTGCTTTAAATAAAGAACTTAGCATGCCATAACTATCTAATATAATTCAATCTCTTAGGAAAAAAGACTTTATAAAACATCACAACTGTCCATTTTCCAAACAATATTCACCAACGATTCATACTCAATTTTTACAAAATTATTTTAACCATATTTTTTAGAAATACTTCTCAAAACATATTTTTTGTTATCTAATAAAACTTTAACACATATTTTGTGTTAACATTTCTATTGTATATTTGTAAACCTTATATAATATATATATATATTTTTAGAAGTATCAACACAATATAGGTATCTCCGTGAGATATAAACATAAAATGACAAACGCTTTATACATTGCTTACAACTGGGACAAGCTTGCATGCATACAACTCTTTTTTTTTATAGAATAGTTATACCCTTAAAAAAAGAAACATTCTCTTAATACAATTCACACAAAATTAAAGGCAAACACAATTTTTACATACAAGAAACATTGAAAGCCTTGATAACAATTAGAATTATAAATTATGCAGTGGATTACTGTTTTATTAATTTGTACAATTTGAAACAGTCATTCTACTTTTATTTGAAAAGAGATGACAAGCAGCAATACAAAAGAAGTAAGTACCAAACAGTTGAAAAAATGTTATAACTCACTCCAATTCATAATACCATTTTATTTAACTTAATCACTGAAATTGTACACACATTTTCATCCCTCATATATAATTCTTGTTCACCCAGAACTAGCTTCAATGATGAATACAAAACGAACAGAATATTTAACAGCCTCGAAACAAATGTCTACTGCTAGAATATTAAGACATAATTTTTTTATTACATGTTTAATACTCAATTCAACTTTTTAATACTCTTCACACTATCCTCCATTATTTGGTATGAAAGAATGAATAACCAGTTATATCAGAAATTTAATTTTTATTTTACCCCTACATTTGCTGAAACACCTATCCCTTTGAAGATAAGCATTTTTCCCTGAATTAAAAAAAAAAAACGTGACTCTCTCTCTCTTACTATTTGTCAAAAGTTATAAAAATACTCACAGTGAGGTGATCAAATAACTGGTATGTTTGTCGGTAAGTAAACGTAGGGGACACTACAGTGACTGCCTTTTGTGACCTCTCCAAGTGACCTGCCATCCATTCTACTCCTTTGTTAGTAACTACAGCAACCTGACCATCTTTCTTATACAGATGCAGAGGTCCCTTGACCCCAAACTTTGGTATATATACCAGGATACCATTAGTACAAAAGGAATAGATAACACCCTCTGCTATACACAAGGTATCATCCAAAGCATTTTTCTGAAAATAAAGTACTTGGAAAAGCTCAACCGAAATTTTTTGGGCTTTCTGGGCTGCCTAATAAATGAAAGAAATAAAATATTTAGTAAGGAACTAACATTCTACAACATACTGTGATTATTTCATTTAATAATTCTTTCATTAAATTACGTTAACAATTGTTTTCTTGAATTTCTGAGATGCTGTGCGATTTATGAATCATGGATATGTGAAGTACAGACAGTTTGTGGTCTAATGCAAAAGACATTCAAAAATAAAATGTTAATTTGTTACCATAATTCAAAGAAATCCTGTAAGTAAACTGCCAACAAATAGAGACTAGTGAATTAACAAAAATATAACATTTTATATATGTGTGTGTGTGTATATGAAAACAATAAACGTAGTAATTTTATATGGGACACAATATGCTAATAAAGTTAATTAGTTTAATTAGTTTCAGTGAATATTTATTATTTGTTAAGTAATGTTTGTATATAGTGTTTAATTGAGATATACTGTAAAACCAAAACCTGCTTATATAACTAACAAGGTAATATCACCAAACAACATCCTTGCCTAGAGAAAACTGAGATAGGACAAGACTGGAACCCTTGACTCTACTAATCAGGCCTATTTGGTCAATTGAACTACTATATTTTGAATACAATGAATTCAGTTTTCACTCTATTGGCTTTCACAAAGAGAGAGTAGCAGGAAACATTAGCTAAGCCAATCAGTTAAAAAATTCAGAATCTATTTATTTTCTCTCCTCCTTTTGCTTAAGGTGCCAATTTTAAGTGATTTTAATCAGGGATTAAGATAAATACTTTAAAATTGTAGGTCAAGATATCTGACAAGAAGCCAGACACCATTAGTCACAATAAACAACATTTAAAAAAAAATAATTATAACTTTACAAACTCATTCTATTTTGTTTTGCTGTAAACTATCACAAGTTAATAAAAGGCTACCTTCTTTAACAACAAAGAAAAAATATAAGTGATGTGCCATATCCAAACTTCACTTTATATGGTATAAACAAGTTAACAATGTCTATAAAACATTTTTTTTTATTGCGTTAAGGCAAAGCTATAATAAACTCACCAAGACAAATTTATACATTTTAGCCTTTGTCCCTTCAGATTAAACAACTCTTGCCATTGGTTCATCAAACTAGGAACTACCACAGAAACAACAGCACTCTTCAACGGTTTTTAAATCTTCTTTGCTATGACTTTTATAGCTTCAAAGTCTAAATTTAACTTTCCTGAAGCAGAATCCCAATGCATCCTGCTTTTTGCACATTAAAATTTTTGGTGCGTATTATGCATTCACGGATTTTAACAAGACAAGTGTTTTTGTTCTTTTTTTACAGTTTCTTTGGTTTCATCATATTCTGATACTTCCACTTGTTGGTTATTAGATTTGGGTGTTTAACTCAATATAATTAATTACCTACGAGCATTGATTACATCAATTAAAATCAACCAAAATAACGTATAAAATGAAATTATGTTCAAATTGATTAATGACACGAAAATAATAAATTACTCTAAATTTTTATTTCCAATTACTACTATTTTTGATTATGCAAACTAGCTAAGTCTTGGAATGTTTTGTGGCAATCGTTTGATATCACAATTGTAGTACAGCTATAGTGTATTCAAGTAAAAATCTTTTAATATCACAATTGAGTATAGCTATAGTGTATTCAAGTAAAAATATTTTGATATCACAGAATTGAGTATAGCTATAGTGAATTCAAGTAAAAATATTTTGATATCATAGAATTGAGTATAGCTATAGTGTATTGAAGTAAAAATATTTTGATATCACAGAATTGAGTATAGCTATAGTGAATTCAAGTAAAATATTTTGATATCATAGAATTGAGTATAGCTATAGTGTATTCAAGTAAAAATATTTTGATATCACACAATTCAGTATAGCTATAGTGTATTCAACTAAGAAGAATCACCATTTTTCTAGAATCTATATACCTAATTCTTATTAGGTAAAGTCCAAAAGTTCTTATTCACATACATTTCCTTCTTGTTATAGTCTGGTATAACTTCTACAATTTTAACAAACTGCAGACCAATAAAATGTTTTAATTTTATTTCCCATTATTATTTTACCAGACTTTCATGCCCTAATTTATAATATTGGTTTTATATAGTTATTTTTGGACTACATTACCAGATTTTAAGTGTATTATTTTACTTTCTTTCCTCAGACAATATTAGTAATTTATTCACAGTGAATTCCTGAATACAGTTTACACTTATGGATAAGAGACTTATAAAGATTTCTTCCATGCCCATTGTGTAGATAACGATGAAGTGAAAAGACAACATCGTGTAAGATTAGTTCAAACAAACATTTTCAACTTATATTGTAGAATTCCTGAATACAGTTTACACTTATGGATAAGAGACTTATAAAGATTTCTTCCGTGCCCGTTGTGTAGATAACGATGAAGTGAAAAGACAACATCGTGTAAGATTAGTTCACACGAACATTTTCAACTTATATTGTAGAAGATTACAAAAAAATACACTTCTGTAAGAACTTGTGTGATGAGAAAGTAAAAGTTTAGAATAAGTATAATCTCAGTGCATATTGTAGACTAAACTGAACTAGTGTAAAAGATGGGTTAGTTCTCATTATGCTGACCACAGAACTAGTATTTCCAGGAAAACTGTGCTTATTATACGATATATGCAGATATAGCATGGATACCACATGGATATAACACAGATACCACTAGAAAAAGTTGTACACTCCTGCAGCCAAAAAAACAATTAGAGACCAAGGAAGTACCACACACAGTGTTTCTCTCGGGAACAGATTTACAGTAAGGTTTATTTGTACACTACATACTAAATTTGTTAAGCAAAGTTGAAATTAAATATAGCCATAAACTTGAAGGAGTTCGAGCAACATACTGTAAATTATATTATTCAAAATGTAAAATAACCTTCCTCAATAGTATGTTGTTTTTGTACAACTGTGGGATGCAGTATAAAAATAACAGTACTACAAACACTACACCACTGTTGCGTCATCTACTGAATGAAAACATAACTACAATTTCCACTAGCTGTGCTACACTAAACACCATCTCTCAGCAATTTATGAAACAAATATCCCCATGTTAATATTTGAAACTGGCAATAGCAATAAGAATAATGCAATATTCAATTTGAGACAAAATGCACAGATAATATCAAACAAAAAATCAGTTCTTTATTCATTCTCAATAGGTGGAAGTTATGTTTGTTTGTGTTAGAGCAAAGCCACATTAGACTACCCATTGTGTTTGTCATGGAAAAACAAACCCCAGATTTTAGTGTTGTAAGTCCACAAACTTACTGCTGTACCACTAAGGAAAGGAACAGGTAAAGTTACGAACAATAATATTTTTAATGCATAATTTGGTAGATAATTAAATTAGCATTGCCAATACCAAATTTGACTATATTGAAGAAGTTTTTTCTTTTAAGTATGAGACAATTTTTCTCAGATACTCTAATTTATTCATTGATAATTAGATAATTATTTAAATATTTATCAAATGAATAATCATTACAAAGTAAGATTATGAGTTACCTGACTACAAGTTTATTTTAATGAAATAATTAACCACAAGCTAAAAATTGTGTCCGAAACACCCAGAGATCGAATAATTTTAAGTAAAAAAAATTAAAAGTTTCAAACCATCAACAATTTGCCTCAAAAGAATTTGAAGCCATTTGTGAAACAAGGGATGGAAACAAAAAGGGTGGGAGGATAGACCAGTTTTATCATTAATATAAATAAAGATTTATCTGGTCAACCCCTATCATTTCTCTTAACATTACGCTTGGCCATCTTACTGTTAGTTCAGCATTATACTCGTACACATGTAAATTGTTTTTTGCACTGCCGCCTAGCAACAAGTAGATTTCAGCTATTCCTTTTCAACAGGGTCCAAAGGTTCCTTTTATTAACATCTTAGTTGACCATATTCTCAGTAGTTTCCAATACACAATGTGAAACATTCTTTATGTAAATAAGAATTCAATTCTGACCAATCACAGAATTAGAAAGAAAAACACGGGTTCGGTATGCTTCATTCATTGTTCAACTAGAAATAATCCTGGGGGAAAAACAACTAATGGGAACAATTGTTACCCAACCATCCTTCATTATTTGTTGGATGTCCTTTTACGAGTATAAATTATTCAATAGTAGTGGCCTCAAAATGAGAAGAAAACAGACTGGCACGACTGTATAAATGAGTATTTACAAGCAAGATTTCTTAGTAAAAACGATTGACCCTCTTGTAAATATTTTTACCTCTGAAAAAACTTACATAAGTGTTTTGGTTCTTTCTTTTTTTATAAATGTTACATTTTCTTAATAAAACCCTAAAAATAATTAGTTTTAAATTAATATATTGTGAAATCATAAAATCATTGACTTTTGTAATATCTTTTAATGTTAAAAACATCAATTAATATTTGTTATACATCTTACCAAGCTAAATTATTAATGATCAAGCATTAACACTGAAAAACAAAATGGCAACTTACTCGGTTCCTTTCATTAATGTGTTCACAGAGTTCCTGTAAATCAGTGTTTGACAACAGTTTATTACTATTGTAATGTTCCTCTATAGCTGATAAGAGAAGTCGGTGCACCTAAGATAAAATTAAAGCACTGATGAAGACCAAGATATACATATATTTATATACATGTAGATACTTAATTAACAATGTAAAAAGCAAATATTCTGTCATGATAGGTTCATATAAAAGTACAATATATAGGTAATGTACAGTCTAGTGTCAGTTCATGCTATGAACTGGACATTAAATTCGAACTATAGGTTGCTCTTCTTACACTAATATGACAGGTTTTTGATATACAAGCTCTAGGTTTTTATTTTAATTGTCGAACTGATGAAATAATGTAGTGCAGATAGCCCTCATGTAACTTTGAGCAAAATTCATAATTCATAACAAAATAATGTAAACTTAAACCTTTAGGGTTTTAGATGAGTTTTTAGGTTTATACATTTCTAGTTCACTAACGTATAAATTTATAATGTTATCACAACCTTCACACAATATTTTTTTTATAAGCTAACAACTGGCAAAATGTTACAAGTCTCAATAATGCACTTTGAGAAAACAAAAAACGTTATCAACAACCACAGGGCTAAATGTTACATTTAAATTGATTCTTGCATTACCTTACTTTGAAAAAATTCATTCAGTAAGCAGTTATGAGAAAAAGGAGGAAGCCTTGACATCTTGGCTACTTGTAGAAAGAATTTTTATGCTGGTCAATTATCTTTAAATTTGCAATACAGTGTCTTTAATATAAAGGATTTGTTTTCAATATTGAGTAAGTGTAAACTAATCATAACATATGTACCAAAAAATTGGATAATCAACCATTTATGGTTAAAAATTAACTCTAGTTAAAAAAAATTATTACAAGCACTCAATAATTGTATAACAATTATTAGCTAAACAAAATTCGATAAAAACTATAAAAAAATCTGTAGCGTTCATCAAAATATTAAAATAGAGACTGTCCAAAGCACCATTAGACTTGGTATTGATGAATATTTTAAATGTTTTAGTTTTATTAGGGAAAATTGTATTTACTTATTTAAAATTCAATTTCTAGTTGCTTTTGGATGTTATATGGCTAAAACAAAATAGAAGGTAATCTGAACACTAACCATAACCTAGCTATAGAACTTATAATAAAAGCTTAGTAATCAGTGAAAGTTTTTTGAGAATAAATAAATAATTAAAAACTATATAACTACATAAAATAAAAACCTATGAAAATTATTAACAAAAATAGCTGCAAAACTTGGTTACCCATATTAAACTTATTGGTTTCACTGCAGTTTTACGGAAGTCTATCTATATTTCAATAAGCAAAACAATTTTAAGCCTAATAAACATTTCAACAAATCATTCCTGATGCATTTTTTCTCAGTTTTCAGTTGAAATTTAAAAAAAAGGTTAAAAAACCCAAACAGCAGCACTCATTGCATACCAAGTATTATAATTAATAATATTGAATAAAAAAATTTCCAAAAATGTTGACAGAAAAACTCTTTAGGTATATAAAAGTTAAATACAGAAAATTATATCTGCTTGTAAAAATCTCTTTAATGAAAATTATTTGTAAGATTCTTGTACTTACAATAGTTAACATGAGTATAATTACCAGTATGTCTGCATATCTTCTGATTGGTGAAGTGAAGTGTGTATATCTATTCAGACCAAGCCCATAGTGATAAAAATCCTCTAAAGAGTAAGAACCCGTAGAAAAATATCTAGCCTGAGACATAGCACGAGTGGCCAGCATTCTTAACACCTAAACAAAAACATTCACATTTTAGCTGAGATTAATCCATGCATACTTTATGTCGTTCCCTAAAAAAACTATAGCTTGTAAGTAACACGAATTAATCCATTGTTTTATGGTAAACAACAATGCATATTCCATTTCAACTTCAAGAAATAGACTAATTTTATAATAGCAGAAATTTTATGTTAACTTATCATGCCGATTTTTTTACTCACGGTAAAGAGTGCAATGAGAATGACATTTATTATCATAAACTATCTACCTTTGGAAATATATTCAGTTATATATAGTTTTCCTCCTTATAGAGCTCATATGCATAAGCTTAAATTTTAAATGACAATAATTCGTTAATTATATCTGGAGAAAATAAAAGCAGCAAAACTTTATAAGCAACATTAAGGGAAACCACATATCGATGTTACAATTTACTATAGTAAAATACATATAAGATTAATAGCTTATTATACTTTTTCTTTTGTATTAAAGAAAAACACTTCAGCCAAATCTGAAAAACTGCTACACAAAATCTTGAGTAGAAGAAAAGAAACTGTGTTCTTACTCAGTACAAACAACCAACAAATTACAGACCTTATTCACGATAGGATCTTTTGGGTCAACTGCTTCATCTAGAGATACAGCAAGAGACCTGTTCGAGTTTGTAAGTATTTGAAAGCCTTTGACTGCAGCACATAGCTTTAATTCTTCCAGATCTTCACTTCTCGGAGGAGGGTGATGTCGTAGCTGATAAAGAAGTGATCACTTATATATACAAGTCCTTTATAAATTATATCAAAAATGAAGTCTCCAATAATCTACAAGATGTATCTCAGTGAATAGTTATTTTCATCATACATTAGTAAAAATGTATCATAATTACACTTCTATACAAAACTTTAACACTTTTTCTGCCAACACATACACACCATAATTTTTCAAATTCAACTGTCATAATTTTAAACCATTGTTTTATTTAACTTAAATTTTTTTAACTGTTTCTTTTTTTTTCAATTTGTAAGTATTTAAGGCTGTGTATGTTATAAAATCAATTTTTAATATTTCTTAAAACCAGGCTGAAAGATAAAAAAAAAAAATTAATCAATTGTGTATAATCCTAGAAAATTCCAAGTACACTCTTATATGAGCTAACAGTATTAAGAGAAAAGTACTACTATCCAGATATCTGAATCATCAATAAATTTGAACATAAAGGAGTTTATATTCAATTATTATTTTATCATCATCAGAGTAAGCCTTTTAAAAATTGAGGTAAAAACCTCAATAAATACGTAAAAACCAAATAAAAACACATAAATGATTAACATTTTCAAGTACAGAATTTAGGAACTTTATTCTGTATACTTAGACATTATTACTTGTTTTACTTACTTATTTACACAAGTACTTTGAATTTTGATCCTTTGAATATGCAAGAATCTGTTTCATCTTTCAAGAGGTATTCATTAAATAAACATAACAATCTATATAAAAAAAAACATTTTACCAATGCTTGATGGGGAAAAACTTCCGATATTTTCTTTCCCACCCAGAAGTTTGCAAAAATCATACACTCTGCTACAGTTTCATGGACTTCAAGATGCTGAGTGAGAAAGAAGCATGTACTTATATTAAGAATGCTGGAAATGTTTTGAAAGAGCTACAAACACAGCCTCTGTTTTTTTCTAACGTGGAAAAAAACTACCCACTAACAATTATATTATTCTATATTTTTAATGTTTAAATTATGCCTAATAAATACTATCTATCATAAGATTAAGTGGTACCTAATAATGTTATTCTAATTTAATTATATGTAAGGAATAATATTTATCATGAAATTATATGGTAAATAATGATTCTGTTCTACATTTTCAAGGTTTCAGGTTTTTGTTTTATTTAATAAAAATACTTATCATAAAACTGACTGACATACATGTAATAGTAGTTACATAAAGTACAAAGAAGAGAAAACAGCAACTGTTAAAAATGAATGTCAATGTTGTTATATGCTGATAGTTTACACATTTTAATGTGCATAAAAATTACAACAAATCAAAGATGGTTGTAAGCTCTAAAAGAATTGAGATCTTGGAAACCAGGAAGGATAAGAAAATATTTTCAAATCTGTTATTACTAACAGTTTCACCTTCCTAAAGGAGCTTTTAAAATGTTAATAAATGCTTTTCCTTTACAAAAAAGACAAAGTTACATGTAGCTAACTTCTATCGTCATTAAATGTACATACAGAAAAATGTATACAAGATGTTTGAACTCGAGCCAAAATAAATTGGTATTGATATTTTTGACTTAAATGGTACTAAATGCAGCACATGAGCTAAACGGCTAAGTAAGAAACATCTACGTTGATCAGAGAGAGAGGGCAACCAATCAGCAATACCAACCACCTATATAACTACATTTAAGTAAATAGTGAGATTTGCTGTCACATTTGTACCAATCCTATAGCTGAAAGTGCAAGATATGTTGAGTTTCACATCATGGACCAAGCCTGGGACCTTCCCATCCATAGACAGCGTGCTAAATAAAAATATTAATATACCCAAAATAAGATTTTGACAACTGTGTCTTTTCTTTTATTTCTGTGGATTTGTGAATGATAGTGCTGAAAATTAACCAACACAAAACTGATCGTTACTTACTTCTTTAGATTTCACTGTTTCCACCTGGTGAGTATAAGATGAATCAAACTCAAACTGGACCTCTAAACTATCAAGTTCTAGAGCACCACTTTGAAGACGACGCTTTTTAAGAATTCTACCAATAGCTGTCAGCTTGATTAATGCTTCTTTCAATTCTTCAAATCTATTAGCAAATATCAATTTACTGCTAAATGGACAAAAATACCCTTAAAAAATACATTTTTGGTACAAAGATAGTTTGTTACATGTTTCACACTCAGCAATGGTTGATTTTTGCCTCTTAGTATTTCAATATTATGCATTTGATTTAATTAAGAACTACAAATATGTTTATTTATGATAGAAAAAAAAAATTATTACATATTTGCCCCAGCTAATTGTGAAAAAACTAATACATCACCTTTTCAACCATCATTAAGCCAGATTTTCTGTAATTTATTTATAAAGTTCTCAGTTTAAGCAAACTTCACAAATATATGAGTCTTGAGTACTAGAATACAAAACAATTCAAATCAAAAAGACACTGATTTTGAGTTAAGACACTTAAAGGTTTGATTTTGTAGAATCACAAAATCATGTCTGCTGTAATTTGACAGAATATAGCCTCACGCACAAGAAAAAAACGAATTTTTACATATCATTTGACATTTGTAATAGTACAAGTCATTCTTAATGTCTCTTATGATGTGAAATTTTACTTTCATGCTACAAAATCCACTTCTTTGCATACATTTAGGCTCTGAACATAAGGCTAAACATCTAATTCTAATTAGAAATACATAGTTAATGGCACAGGCTAGAAAAATAGAGACTTTATACTCAGTACTAAGGAGTACTATGCTTATAATAACTTCCATAAATGATGTTATTTGGAATAGGGGAAAAAAAACCATTTTTTCTTAAATACATGTTAATTTTCTCTAGTTCTTTATGAAAGAAAACTATGCTTAAGATCTCATAAAAACGTTGTATAATAGTTTTAGTTAAATCCTTTATAAAAGTAACATGAATGAAACTATTGAAACTAAAAAAATATTAATTGAAAGGTTTTCCTAAGACGAACAAAATAATAAGCTGATGCATTTTCTTATAATACCTTACAATACAGAAGCAAAAAAAATCATTATAATGTAAGGATGTAATGTAACTCAAAATGCTTTTAAACACGACAATAAAACCTTTTTACTCTTTTAATCATTTATTGAAGTTAGAACTTCTATCAGAATTTTCTCACTTTTTTTTGTTAATCTTCACATTACGTTGATAAATACTTCCATGCCATTAAGTATAATGATGGCATGCTTTAATTTTCTTTAATTTCCTTAGATTTTGAAACATCAGTTCAGTATTCTTTATTTTGTTAACTGGTATAATTTTTAAACAAATATACAATTATTATTTTAACTGTTCTATCAGGGGGGATTTTTAACTTCAAAATAATATATTATTGAAAGAGTTAACAAAACTTAATACAATTTGAATCATTTTTTTATGTAACCACATATACTGAATTTACTTATTTAAGATTATCGTTGAAGAAGTTTTTGAAAAATATAATACAAATTACAAACTCTGAAGTTATTTAGTATGAAAATACATTGTAACATTAGTGGTAATGTAAAGTTGGTTAACATTATTCTCTATCTGCAAGTTAATAAATGTACATAACTAACATCATGAACATTTCAGCTGTGCAGTTAAATGAACAACTTGGTCATACCTACTTTTCAACCATCACAGTATTTGAGAACTTCTTTAACTCAGGAATTGTAGACTGCATTTCTTCCAGTGATTTTCCATTTAAAATATCTTGAGCTGCCTAATAATAAAAAAAAAAATTATAACACCATAAAGAAAATTAAAAAAAAGTTTCACATACTATCAGTATTTTACAATGTCATTACATTCAAACTTTCAAAGAAACATGAGATCTTAACTTTTATTACCATCATAACTTTGTCTAAATATATTACAAATAGGTTATCATGAATGAAACATTTAGCTGACAAACACAACAATTTTAACAGTAATCAATATTTAACTACACTACAAATACAATGAGCCATAGTAAACATTTTTTTTTTAATTTGACAAAAGGCAATTCTTGGAATAAACTTTTTCTTTATACTTAAATAAAACCAGCCACATGAACATAGGAATGCATCTATAGCTTGAATACCTTAAAGCTTTGCTAATTGTGATTAAAAAAAAACGGGCAAAAAACAAAAGATGGGTGGAAAACGAAACTAATAATTTAATATTAGTCTATCACTTAGAACTCCCACTTACATCACAATTAACGTGGTTCACCGCATCTTCGCATGTAAATCATCATGCAACAACCCTCCACCAATACAAGAGGGAAACACTCTCCTGAGCATGTGACTCCGTCAATTCGATTCTACCAAATTATAACTTCAAGATTAGGCAGATATGAAGCACCAGTTTTAAGTGGGGAGGAAGGGTTGGAAGTGTGAAAGGAAGTAAGTGCCTATCGGAAATATATTATCAGTGTAGGAAAATTATAACTTCTGATACAGTATCTTACCTTCTCTCACATGTATAGCTGGGATCCATCATTGAAGAGGTGCAGAGACCAGTGTGAGGGACATAGAGAAGTATCCTTCGAAAGAGTTTGAAGAACACCCTTGAAGTGTGATCCCTGTTGGGTGGAGAACACACGTGGGATACTGCATCACTTCTGTACCAGATATACTCTTTGCCTAGTGTGGAAATAGGTGTTGCATACACAGACAGAAAGTCACAACAAAAAAAAAACGAAAAAAGGATATGCCCCATGGTGTAGAATGGCTGGGGCGCATTGGACCGTACTCAACTAGTCAACTCCATTCCAAAATCAAACAGCATCGGGCAGATATCTTCTGACCCGTGGTACAAAGAGGATTCACACCGTCTTCACCTCAAGTTGAGCAGAGTGGAAGGATATATTTACCAAACCAATCCACCCAACATGGCACACATGCACAAATCCACAACCACAGCCAGTCATTTGGGAATCCGACTGACAACATCATCCTCAGGTAGTAAAACACGTGGAGGTGGAGTGCCAGAGGGATAACCATTGCCCAGAGCAACATTATCTGCTGGATAGGACCACGTGTGCATGCAACATCAACCTCCAGGACCAACTTTATGGAGTCATGGAGATGGAGATCACAAGACCAAACTATTAGAACAAGGTACGACCAACACGTATGAGAAATTATGTAGATTGGTCAAGCTCCAATCCAAAAACACTTACTTGGAACTGACATCCAAGGTGATGGTATGATGAGGGATCCCAACTGGAAGGGTGAACTGCAATGTGATGGATCTACTCGAAAACAATATCCTCCTCCTGACAGGACTGCATATGAAGCTGGAGTGCAACGTCAACTTCCAGGTCCTACTGCACAGAAATGGATTTCCTCTGTAAAAGATATGCAATCTCACCTCTTCTGCTTTACCCATGCAAGTTCATAGTTTGGTGCAGTCTGGAACAGGCATATTAAAGAAGCAAATATATCACAAGGAGAACCTACCTAGTGACCTTGGGGAACATCCCATCTCAACAGTGTGTGTTATTGGCCATGACTATACACTGAGATTGTTGGGATCACCCACTACCCGAAGACAAATTTGGTGGGATGTCCTATGCAACCCTTGCCAAGCTATTCCTACTAGTGATCTTGTGGAACACCTCATCTGAACAGTGTGCATTAATGGTCATGAGTATACATCAAGATTGTTGGGATCAGCCACCACTCAAAGACAACTTCGGTGGGATGTCTCATACAACCCTCGCCAAACTACCCCATGCAACATCATTCTACACTAGGGCCCAACCCCATAGAGATGGAGTGACAGAAGCAGTTGAATCTAAGTTACAAATGGACAGCAACTGCCTGTTGTAGAAACCGACAAGTACAGGACGACGTTACGAAAGTCTTCCACCTCGAAAGTCTTCAGGTGGAAGACTTTC